CTGACTATCTCCACAAAAAGCCCTGATAACGACAAAACTGCCTGTTTTGCAAACAAATACGCCCAAACACGGCCACATTTCAACGTCCAAGAAAACTCGATTCACGTCTTCCACCAAAAAAGAGCCACGACTAATGTCCGTCTCTGTGTTTAAACAACATCGGCAATAACACGTGCTTATCTAAACTTAAATTAGATTACGCAGCCATAAGAACTCTTATCGCAACAACCGGAGAAAAACATGACATAAACCTTTAAGCAGACTATTTTTTTTTATTCTCCTTTAATTATACAATCTGCCATAGCTTATTTAGCAATAAGTATTTAATAGGATTGAATTAATTATTACAAAATGACATGTGGGGCAGAATTCCAGCGAAGTCTCCCCTTACATTTTTAATATGTGATGTATGCTATGAAAATAATATACCGTGCGTTTATCTTAGATTGGAACATACGATTTTGCATGCAATGTTATTTCCCTATGTTCCATTTTAAAAAAAACGCATCAACCTGAAGGATATGCGCGGTTCACAACTAAAACAAACGTATTAGAAATTTGCGAGTCACATTTGAACCAGCCTTTATTTTTAGGTTATGTACGTGTACGGTCGAAAGTCGAAGAAAAATTGTTTAATAATAAATAAAATGAATTTAATTATAAGTTATAACAAATGTTCAAAGTGCCCTCCTTCACATTCCAAGCAGTACCCTAACCGATTGCGAAATTCCTGAATACTATTTCGTAAAAACGTAGGATTCATTTGATCACATGCTGTTAGTATTCGGGTTTGTAACTCTTGCACATTCTGAATGGGAACATGATTATAAATTTTCGATTTTAGATATCCCCAAAGGAAAAAGTCATTTGGCGACAGATCGGGAGATCGTGCTGGCCAAGATATTGGACCAAATCTACCGATCCAACGGCCCGGGAATGTTTCATTGAGGAAACTTGTCACTGGTCTCGTAGAATGTGGTGGAGCCCCGTCCATTTGAAACCATGGGTTGTTTATATTCAACTCCTGTAACCGTGGAATAATGCGCGATCTAAGTAATTCGAGAAACTTTGTTGAATTTAGAGTTCCATCGATGAAGAACGGTCCGATTAGAATATTGTTTATTATCCCGGCCCAAACGTTAATTTTAATATTATATTGCGTATGCGTTATGTTGTGTACATGATTATTAGTTTGTGACCAATATCTAATGAAGAAAACGGTATCAGTAAGATTTAATATGGAGATAGGTACCTACCGATAGTTTTGAGAATTTACTGTACCGTTCAGAGAAAAAGATGCTTCATCTGTAAACATTATTTTGTGCAATATTTCCTCATTATTGTTTAACAAATTAAATATTGTTTCGCAAAAGTCTGTGCGTTTTATTTTATCATCATCAAACAGTTGTTGGTGATTTTGAAATTTGTACGACTTGTATTTAAATTTCTTTAGCGTTTTAAACACGGAAGTTCTAGAAATTTCAAATTCCTTGGCCATTAAACTTAGTGATGCTGTTGGGTTTTCTTCAGCATAGCACAAAATTTCTAATTCCAATTCTTCATTAAGGACATGGTTAATTTTTGCCTTTTTTGTGTGAAGATTTGCAACACAGCCATCCCTATCAAATTTTGCTATAACTCTGTGGATCGTTGAAATGGATGGTATTTGTTCGTCAGGATACTGGACTGCAAGTAAATCGCGGACTTGTCTTGTACTGTTTAGGCCTTTGTATAAATTTATAATTGCAATTTTCATTTCTTTAGGCAGCATTTTTGAATTTATTGCAGGGCGGTAGATTTAAAGGTGACAGTAGTACATTGCGCCTACTACCCATTTGAACTACTCCTTCAGGTTGATGCGTTTTTTTTAAAATGGAACATAGGGAAATAGCATTGTATGCATAATCGTATGTTCCAGTCTAAAGGAAAAACAATATACTCATTGTAATATACCAGTAAGTTTAGGCACGATCATTGTAATCGGTCGTTATAAATTATATTTGTCATTTTGAAGGATGAGGAGTTGTATTTTACAACACTTTATGTCCCGTAGGAAGGAAAATAGACTTCTCGAGTTAATTAAATATATATATATTATATACTTGTATGAGTGTGAGGTAAAATTTAGATTTTACGATAAGCAAATTGTTGAAAACAACATAAACGTGAGTCAACTCGTATCGTGGAAATTTTAACAGAAGCAGAAAATCTACCTACAGCCTTAGTGTAATGAATACTACAGCCCATCCCTCATTGTTATGGTGTATTGAAAAATTTATAGGGAACAGAAAACAAGGATTATAAATAAACAGGACGGTCCTAGCGTGGCATGAAAGCCTCAGAGCAATAGAGGAATTGGAAAATTATAGGGGACCTGTGGGATTTAACATAAATCATAAATGAGTAAAGGACACGTTGCGATACATAATTCATATCTGTGTAATTAACTAATTACGGCAGCTTGTCTTTAATCCAAAGTAGCACTTGACTTAATACGAGTACATCCCTACAAAAAATGTCTGCAATAAAGAACGCCAGCAAACCTCAAATCGCCTTTGAAGAAAGAAAACCACTACAGCCCGACATAATTTTAAAATTCATAAACGGCATATCGCAGATATTTTGCTTAACGATTCCAAATGTTTATAATTATAACGGGTTGTCGGTGTGGTATCTATTGTACAGTTTACTTTTGGTATCTTTGCTTATACTAATACTATGCTGGACGGTAAAATCAAAGCTGGAAGATTATTACAGTTTCATTGATAAAACTTGCGCGTTAGATTTGATGGTGATGGTCTTTTATACAGTCTCAAATTCCGTAACAATAATTGGTACCGTCATTTTTCAACGAAAAAATCTAGTAGCTGCAATTAGGTACATTGAAGATTTGGGTAATCTTCATGAAATGCCTTTGATACTAAAATCATGTAATGATACCAAACTGTTTTTAGCTTTAGTAGGGCTTTTGCATACTTGTATTGGTGCCATTTTGCTTACATCGATAGTTTTGTTTTACTTTGGTAAGATTAATGTCATCTTTTCTATAATTCGTTTTGTAAACTTATACATTGTTATTATCACTACACTACAAATTCAAAACTATGCTGTCATTTTAAGAAATAAGTTTGATACTTTAAATCAAAAGTTATTAACGACAATTGAAGAAATTAACAGCGCGCAAAATTTAAAAAATAATCAAAAAAATGTTGTGCAGTGTTTAAAAATTTATGATAAATTGTGCGACATTCAAGATTGTTTTAATGGACTGTTGGGTTTGCCGATTTATTGTTTTTCTTGGTTAATACCTGCGCAATGTTTGCAGACTATCAATTTTGTTTTGGAATATAAACTAAAACTGGACGATATATCGATAAGTATAACTGATTTGGAGATTTATTGGAGTTTATCTTTGACTGTTACAGTCTTGGTAAGTGTATTTGTATTGTATACGTAACTATATTGCTTTTTTGCTGCTTTTGGTGTACCTACCTATACTTATTGTAATGAACGTTAGGCAAATGTTAATCCAAAATGAGCAACTACGGTATTTGAACACTCTTTGTGACATACCGTTGAGTGAAACTCAACGGACATACCCAATTTCAGCAAAAACACAAAAACTTGTTTGCACCGATTATCGATTGATTGAGAATTAATTAATTGATTAATTGTATGCTTTGTTTCAGATTTGCGCCTTCGTGATAGCTTACTTTGCAAATCAAGTAAGGCAGGAGAGCCACAAAGTCGCTTCTATAAGTTATCAGTATTTGATAAAGTTTCCTCCGAGAAGCAGCAACGTGCATATTATAATTGTACGGGACTATTTACTGCGCTTAACACAGCAGGTCCGCTACCGCAGTCCCTGTTTTAATGCTGTAGGTGCATTTATTGTAGACATTTCGTTTATGGCGAGAATGTTGGTTATGATTTTGATTCATATAGTAATGTTGCTTCAGTTTGATTCAAGCTTAGAATTAGTGTAAATGTGCGTCTATCTGCACATATTTATCAGTCATTGACAAAAGTAATGATCGCCGATGGTAAATTCTGCAGCATATACGTAAGCGTAAGCAACATTTCAATATATTGTGCAACTCCTCCTCAAACGAAGACCCATGCGATAGACATAGGAATGTTGGTTGTTGATGCTACAGAGTTTACCTATTAGGAGATTATTATTTTTGTCAATGACCATGCATAGCGATAAAAAATGAGTGACTGTCCAGTCACCTTTGGAATTTTTGTTTAGATGGGAAATCGTACTTTATTTATTCATTTATTTTTATTTATTTATTTATTTATTTATTTATTTATTTATTTATTTATTTATTTATTTATTTATTTATTTATTTATTTATTTATTTATTTATTTATTTATTTATTTATTTATTTATTTATTTATTTATTTATTTATTTATTTATTTATTTATTTATTTATTTATTTATTTATTTATTTAATTATTTATTTATTATTCCTCTTTTGTTCTGGGCTCTCAACTTCCAAAAGCGACCTAGTTGGATACCTACATAACCTAAAAGTAGATATAAAGAGGTATTGGGTATACTTTTGAATATGGTTCTTCTTCATAATATCCTCCATAATATCTATTGCACACAAAAAATCAGAAACAGTGCCCGTATATGGTATACCTACCTGCCACGCTCCTAACTTAACAATTGTACTGTGCTGACTCATTTTTAATTACACTTATTTCCAAATAACTGTGTGCCACATTGAAACAGTTACTATATCTATTCTACTATATTCTTTTGTACAGATGTTAAGACCCATCTTTAAAACATATTTAAAGTTGTTTAAATAATGCAGAAAATAAATCCAGCTGGAGATACAGGGTGTTTAACAATATTGTGACCATACCTAATCTGTGTTTATGATTAAGTGGACTTAGTGGTTTCTTTGACTTCAGAAAGATGTAAAATATTATCCCCACTTATTAATTAAGGATCCTTAGATACTTTATAGTGTTGTATTGTCGACCGTCCGTCTGTCTGTCCGTCCATCCGTCCCTATGCACTCTAACTCTTTTTAAAAGTGGCCGATTGTGTTGAAATTGTACGAGTACTTTGGGCATTAAGGACGGACGCTATTGATTTTCAGGAAGCTCGTTCAACAGAAACAAAAGCTATAGGACTTCGAGTGAATCGGGAACAGGAAAAACTGCGGGCTCAATATAATAGAAATCAACATATTTCATTCCCTAGGTCTTTCGCTAGATTATTCCTTATGAATATGGTTTATGAATTGCTCCATCTTGAGAGTTCGGTGGGGTTATAATTATAGGATGAAATATCTTTCGAACAAACGTATATTATAATGTTTTCTATGGCGATCGATTTCGGGTATTTATATCCCATCGTCAGGCCTTGATAGCCGCCTGGCACACCTTCAAGGTATAGGCTGTAAAAATTCCAGGACTCTAGGACTATTCCCCTAGAAGTACTTTGAAACGGCAGAAGTGGGTCCGGACGGACGGACGGACAAAACGCAAACAATAGCACATTTTTTTTAATTCTAAAAAAATGCGCTAAAAAGTGTCGGAGGATGTCTAGTTATTTGCACCTGAGCAACTCAGAGACACTTGACTCGATTGAGAAAACCATAGCCATAGATCGTTAATATTTTATTTAAAAAATAATGAAGAACTAGAACTAGAACATACAAAAATTACAAAAATTTTGTTGCTATTTATTGCACTATTGAGCATTGTAAAGAAAAGCAAGTATAAAAAATTTAATATATCCAAAAATTTTCCGCCTTTCCGCTGTTTTCCTCTCAAATTCTTTCAATATATCCTCTACTTCTACACTCTTCTACACTTTTTGTAATTTTTGCATGCACATGCAGTAGAAGATTTATCTACTCCTTCTTAGAGGGGGCGCGGCCCCCCTTGTGTAAAAACTGAGAGGGCGTGACCCATACTTCCGACGTCGCTGAGTAGAAGATGTGTTAGTCGCTTTTGAGTGATTTATCTACTCATTCTTAGAAGGGGCGCGGCCCCCCTTGTGTAAAAACTGAGAAGGCGACTCGCCCCCTCTGACCCATATTATACTGGATTATGTAATTGCTAACTTGCCCTGCCTTCTGCCATCCGACATCATAGTTGTATTTGATGGGTACCCATAACACAGCTGAGGATGATGTTACTTTAACAATTCTTGATCATATTATGAGAAACGACAAAGTAAATGCAACAAATACTTATAAAAGATGCCACAACCACAAGTGCGGGGGAATTAATACAGACATTATCACTTTGTACTGAAAATAATTCATACAGGTAATGCGACGGTGGGCACTAGAATAGTACATTCCCTAAGTGCAATGTACTGTACTGGTAAAGAAACATGATCTAACTGTTTCAAAAGCAGATTACCTATGTTTGTTCAACCCTATTGAATTGAATGACTATTGGCGTACAAGACGTGATTACAGTTACTATATCAGCAACGTAGCCATAGTTTAAAGGGAACCAAACAGAACTAATATGCAATTCTCGATCTTTGAACTGATGATATAACAAGGTAAGTGCTTCTTGTGCTTCATCTCGTAGCAGTTGCTCCACAGGCATGTCTAATATACGTCTATACAGCTTGTTAGTAATTCTCTTCACGTCATCTTCGAACGCTGAGGCCGAGCTTACCATTGACATGCTCAGTATCTACAAGAAAGCAAGTATTGTCATAGATAAATTATCTCACACACTTACCAGTAACAAAAGACACCATAAAAGGTGAACAAGGGAGAATTGATAGCCTGTCAACTTGTCATTTCTGAGTGCACCTGACGCACAAGCAATAAGAAAATTCATGGTCTGAAACACCTCAACGATGGCAGAGAAACATATAAATAAACATGGATACTCAAATATCTCATTAAATGAGGCCACACTTTGAAACAGTGAGCCATAGATTTTGAACAAGAGATTTAACTGCATTAAATCCTCTTCCCGAGGTTTAATTTTTTGGCTCACTCTCATCCATTTGTTTGTCGTTGAATATTCTTCTTCGTCCGTTGACATTTTGTGCATATCTTCAATTAAGTTTAAAAATAATTTCGTGCTAAATTTTAGCTTGTATGTCAACAGTTTAAGAAATTCGCGAAATCGAAATAATTCACAAATGAAGATGTAAAATTGGACGTATTTGAAAATGTAACACTGCAACTCTTGCATCCCAAACGAAGTAAACCAGAAGTAAATGTCGTAACTTACAATCGCAGTAAAGCACAAATTAATAAAGGTGAATTTTGTGCAGAAGCAATGTTGTAACTCTCCCTCGTTGCGTGCGTGCTTCTGTTGAAGATACATGTCGTTTTTAATTAACGATGTTAGGAAAATATTCGTCGATTTTGCGTTGCGTATTGAGCCATAAATGATAACTTCATTGAGAATGGTCGAAACTGTGAGGAAGAGAACGTCGAGGGTTATTGTTGTCAAATTCATGTATCGATAGACGTAATTGTTTCTTGATACAAAAGTAGAAACGGCTCCACCTGCTACAAGCAACAATAATACGAGGGCGTAATTTCTGTAGTATCTTGCACCAAGTTGGTGAGTAGAAAAATTGTAAGGGGGTGTCGTTCCCAAAAATCCTCCCAACCATTGCACGAACTTTAAATTACTCCATTCTTTGCCTAATGTAAATTGATGCTCTGTATCGGTACTCATTGCCAATATTTCTACAATTATTGTATCAAAGATTCACAAACCCTTACTTTATTGATCCAATCAATTTTAAGGTTGCGTGTCTTGTGATTATCAGATGCGTCGCAGGATAGTGAATACATTGTATCGTTTTCAATTATGTATTAGTTGCAAAGGTGTGTATTATGTATAATGTAATCATACTGATTAGATGATTGGTTCCAAAAAAAGAAAGATCGTGTAAATGATAACACTTTGATAACTTTGACCAGAACCATTATATCTAGCTTACAGCAGGCATCATTGAAAAAACTGAGAAGTAGAAATCTGTCAAAATCTCCTTTTTGTACATTAATAATTTAGAAATTTGCAGACCAAGTGAACTACGAGTATACTGAGAAATTAATCAAAAAATTGCAAGGGTCTGACCAATCTTCCTTTTGATAACAGCAATGTTTTACAGGGTGAAACGCATTCTTCTTCTTCTTCCTTCTTTGATTTAGGGGAAGGGTCTGTAGGATTTTGTAGGCAAAGGTATACACTTTGCTTTATTGAAAATCGTTCTTTAATTCTCGCTGCAGATGTTAGATTATGTCAACACTTGTTGATTCTATATAGACGCCCCCTAGGAGATCTGAGGAAAGTTCCCTTTTGATCATTCCTTGTTCTTAGCTTTTGGTGTAATTTACGGATTGTAACAAATCGAATGTTATGGATTTTAGAGCCCAAAATCTATTAAAAAACGCATTCAGAATCACACACGGAATTCGGAACTTTATACGAGAGAAGAAAATACCGGACAGCTTGAAGATGATGATTTACAACACGATCATAGCACCGACAATCTTATACGGAGGTAATACCTCAGCGCTAACAAGAAGTAACAGACGAACATTGAGGAGGGCGGAGCGGAAGGCACTCAGGATACTGATGGAAAACAGCAACCTTACAAGAAAGCAGATAAGGGAACTACTAGAGGGAAAGACGATCACCAGGAGACTGAAGATGAGACAGATGAGATACTGGGGACATATAAACAGGAGGAACAAAGACCATATCCTACGGGCTGCCAAGAATCTGTGTGCCTCGGAATGGAAGGTAGGCCGACCCTGCTTCAAATTTTCACCGAACCTTTACGTTTCAAGGTTATAGCCTCACAGGAGTTGATGGCGGAAGTGCTGGGAAAAGTGTGCGCATCACCAAGTAGACTACTTTGAAGGGGATTAAAGTTTCCGACCTACAAATCAATAAATATATGTATCCCGATCAAAGGTTCGATACCTTTTGAACACACCTTGACCTAGTACATATATTATTATAAATGTTGCAGTTGCTGATTCCTGTTGGTGCGCTTTAATAGGTCATGTGTGCCAATTGACATAGTCAATAAGATTTACCTATTCATTGGGAAATTCCGAGTTTAAACTATGAAATGGAGCACAAGGTTGCTTTATGAATCATTGTGAAATAATAACTTGCCATAATAGTTTTACTACATGAAATTATAACTTCTTTTATTTTAATACTTTGAACGTGACTATTAATATTATTGTAAGAGAAATGTGCATAATTATTTTAGTTGTTACAAATATATAAGAATCGGAGTTATGGATCTCTTAGTAACTTTAAGATCATGGTTTGCGCACTAAGTTTGTTTTTGGTTGCGATGTGCTTAGCATCATCTCACGGATTTGGTTTCTTGGTAAATATATGCTTGATACTTTTTTTATGTTAAATATGATAAAACGTGTTTAGATAATAGAAAATTGGTTACTAAACTATAATTTATTTTTAAGGGCGCTTGTAAAGATTGCAACGATGATGAGGATGATGGTCTCTTCGATTTTCTAGGAGATTTCTTTTGTGATATATTTTGTGATGCTGATGATGATGATGATGATGCAGAAACTACTACCATGCCAGCTAATACTTCAACTACTACTAGCAGTTCACAGTCTGAAAGTTCTTCGTCAACAGAAACTACCTCTCCAGCTGCTTCTACAACCACTGGGTCAGATTCCCCATCAACTTCAACAACTGTCTCACCTTAATTGAATGTGCAGAAACGTGTGGGAAGTGGTGATACAGAGTGTTTTTTAAATTACATAATAATAATAATATTTATTTAATCCTGTTACGACATAAAAATGTATAGGACAAAGTCAAATGTGAGGACAAATGTACAATAAAACAGTGAAACAAGCACAGAAATACAATTAACGATTTGCTATGTACCGAGGAGCACCAGGATCATTTAAGAGTTTTTCAACGTTATAGAACATCTTGTCTAGAGACTTAGTTTACGTTTGAACGTATGGAAGTTGTTGGCCGTTGTAATGGTAATTGGCAGACTATTGAAAATTTTAACTCCTGTAATACTTATAGGGACTGCACTGATCATTAGTTCTTCCTCGTGGGCCATCGCAATAATAGAATCCTATTTTGAAAAGTAAGTACCTACGTTTGGGACTTTTGGCACTGAGCATGTTGTCCTTTGGGAGTGGAATGCTCAAAATCATAGTGTTTAAAGTTACCGTTAATTGGCAGCGTTTATTTTCCATTGTTAGTCCGTTTGTCCGTTGGTTTACTCCATTGTTAGTGTTTAGGGTGTGCAATACAAAAATCGAAATTATTTGTCTTCTCGCTACCATGATATAAATAAGTGTTGTTGCAAGACTAACTATTTTTTTTCGTCTTTTCGTTTACTTCATTCAAATGAATTTATTTTTTTTAACCCAAACGATTCGGTTATGGGTGTTGGTACCAAAATCCGTGACGTATCTCCGTGCGCGTTGTGCGCAAGAACGAACCACAAAAATTTCCACGAGTATGCACAAAAAAATTGACGCTAGCAGATCGTGTGTGAGAAATTGCTAATTCTGCCAAGATTGCGTGGCCCTATTTTCCAACGTCTCCTAGTAGGTGCCAACCAATTACCTATATAATTGGGGTCGTTTGGTTGTTGTTCATTATAGGTAGAGGGCCGGAGGTATAAGTTTTAGACCCGACGAAGGAGGGCCCTTATGAGGCCAAGCTCGTAATCTTCATCCGGTTCGAGGCATGTACAACGTTTTACGCACAACTGCACACAACCTACAAAATTGAATTAAAAATGGTTAAAAACGATGAAAAAATACGACAGTGATTTAAATTCACCGCTCGTCACCTAGGGCCCTAGGATACTTGTTTCTAAGGAAAAAAACAAACATTGTAAAACAAAAATTTTCATAATTTCGGAATGGAAGTAAAGGCTGAGCAAATTCCCTCTGAAATATTAGTGGAAGCTGATGAAGCTATGTTGGGTTTAACCCCAAGCAAATCTTAAGACCGATATGAAAAGGAGTTTTCATCTTGGGAAGTCTGGATGAAGGAAAAAAAGGTGACATTTATCAATGAAACCGTTTTACTAGCGTATTTTAGCGAGAAGGTATGTTAAAATGGTTTTTTTTTATTAATTGTTATCCTAGATTCTGTGTCCTAGGCGTTATCCTTTTTTGTTCATTTATAGTCGAAAACTTACCAGTGCAGTTCTTTGTGGGCTAAATACTCCATGATAAAGAAAATGTTATTAATCAAGAAAAATGTTGATATTAGCAAATATTGTAAGCTGGTGTCATTCTTGAAAAGTAAATTCATTGCCCATGAGTTCAAAAAAGCTAAGATATTATCTAAAGCAAACGTGATCAAGTTTATGAAGGAAACTCCAGATGATACGTATTTATTAGGTAACATTCTCGACATTATGGACAAGTATAAACGTCATTATTTTACGTTGGTTTAATATTTGGTATTTATGGGGCCTTGCGGAGGGAAGAACAAGCAAATATATCAGTAAATGATAACGAAGGCAGGGGTTCTGTCTTAGTTGTAACAACACCAAAAACGAAAACTAGCAAATTGACACAATACTGTTGCAATACTTACAATAAATGTAGTAATTTTCATAATAAAGATGATAGATATTGATGCGGGCTTTTGAATTCTTTTACAGGCCCACGGGCCGGCAAAATTTTGACGGGTGTAATGTCAAATTTTCGGTCGTGGTAACTAAGATGTAAACGAATATGATGCAGTTGTGCGTAAACTATTATAAATTATATAAATTCTGTTGGGGCAACTAACATATTACAGCCCTGACTCCTGAGCCCATTGCAAATTATTATTCTTGTGCTAACAAGTATAGGAAGCTGTACATGTTTAAATATGGCGAAGTGATACAATAGTTATTTATGTATTAAGGGCATAATAGTGATGTTTATATTCTCGAGGGTGACGAGTTAAAAAGCTAGAGGGCCTATGGCCCGAGAGCTTTTTAGTCGCCCGAGAGTATAAACATCAGTTTATGCCCGTGGTACATACACAATTTTATGTTTTACAAATAGTTTTCTTCGTCAAAATTCGTTTACAAAATAATTCATTATGTTTGATCGAGTATGCGTGGTTCGAATTTGTTGATGTGATTGAAACCATCCAAACGTCAAACGTAATTTTAAATAATTCAATTCATCGTGAATGAGCAAGAAGTTCCAGAAACTATACGAAATAAGGCCAATCACGTGATTTAGTAGGTATTGACAATTAATAATTGACGTTTCTAATTTTCAATGACTTGCAAATATTTGTTTGTTTTGTCATTATGTATAAATGAGTTACTATGGTGATACTTAATGCCCTAGGGCATAAAGTGGTACTTTATGCCCGCGTATCACAGATATAAAATGTGCTATGATAGGTTAGTAAGACATAAAAATAATTATTTAGTATCTACGTATATATATGTATATTATATATCTGCTGTAGCTATAATTCTTTAATTTTTTGTAGATAACGATGCAGGTTATATTAATCTTACGGTGCGCATTCACAAGCAACTGTTATTGTAATCTCCTCTGGAATGAAGAAATCTCTCACACTGTGTGGAGTAGACGAACAAGTTGCGTCGGAAACATCTAAATCTTCAGCTTGCTTTTGTTTCAATACGTGCACCTTATATTCCTTAGGGCGGCATTGATAAGGACCGCCTAGGCAACTGCTTGGTTTACATTTTATCGTTGGTAGTTGTCTGTAAGTTACCTAATAAAATATTACTCTTGCGACAATGTAGTCTTACCTAGGGAAATACATTATTCCAAGGTATTTCATCTCCGGCTCTCCTTTACATGCACAAGAAAGACCCTTTTTTTGGAATAATGGAACTGTTCGGATAGATTTGCTGAATTTGTTCTAAAATCAAATTTACAGTACGACATTGTTAAAACAAAGCAACACAATATATACACATAAGAAAGATACCATAATATTGAAGCGAAAGTATACATACTGTGGAGAAAGGTTGTGTGGTCATACTGTTTTCTTTGCGATTTTTGAATAACCAATTAAAAAAAGCTACATTTCGTTCATCCTCGCAGGTATTAACTGAGTTAATAGCGCACAGTGGCTTCTCCATAAACGTATCAAAATATTGTACATCTCGTTTTGTGTCCCATTCGGGAAACTCTATTTTTTGACAATGAATCCACATTAAACACAAAACAGTAATTAAAAACAGAGGATGTGTGACATTCTGAAAATTACAAAAATGATAAGGTACACACTAAAAACTAACGTAGTAAATTACCTTAATTTTAAGAATGTTCATCGTTGCGTCCTAGTAACTGAACTTTATATAAGCTTCTTGTGCGGAATATATACTCTTAATCACAATAGGTCCATTAAGCTTCTCTTTGAAAATTGATATATCAAGTTCTGCTTCATTATTTACTGAAGATCCTATTATATGAGCTAAAGTAAATTTAGAAAGCGGAGGCTATATTGCTGTAAAGAGAGGCGAAACACGTAGGTTTTTTACAATACAATGAGTCCTAAATGTGTCGTCTGGGTGCATGTATTATGTGTTTCCCAATATAGTCTGTATCAGAGGAGTGCATTTTAGATTATTTAAAATTTATCTTATTGCATATATTGCATAGATACTGCGAAATGTTCCTTTTATGTTTATTCTCGATCGTATTCCGTGCAAGGATTTATTAGGGTGGAATTGATGTGTTGCACTTAACAGAGATCAATTGTTTTAATGGGTAGGTATTCTGCGAGTTCGAGAGTAAAATCTGGTGCCGGTTTACAATTCCTGGGTATTGCAATGGACAATTTTTTCGTACCCATTTAATTCAGAAAGCGAAAGGGGTGAAGGTATCTTATTCTTCCAGTAACCAGCCCCAATCAAAATTAGCCGATTTGCAAAAGTATCTAGGTACATATTTCAAATTTTTCTTGTTTTCAGAGGGCAAGATTACTTGTTTGGTGGAAGTAAGGGTTGTTTTGATAAAACAGAGCGCTTTGCAGTTTCTTTTCGTCGAATGGTTCCAATCAACGATTTAATGCTATATTTAATCATAGTAGGTACCTACTTATCTGTCAAAAATTAAATATGCATCTTCTTTTCGCCATGGAGTTCTTTGTGGTCCCTCAAACTTGCCACACCCATCTTCCATGAGAGCGGAATTGAACAAATACCTAAGAGTACCTCCATATTATCCGTTTTTTTAACGGGGAGGGGGGGGGGTAAACTAACGGGGTGAAATTACCGGATACTGTAGGAACACACTTATATTTGAGCATTCACACTTATCGACGTCCGTAAAAAAATTGGTCTGGTACCGGTGCACAAACGGAGGGGTTTCTAGTTCTACTCCTCCGTCACAGGACCGATGAAAAAAAGCGAAGTGTTTATTAGAAACACTTGAAGGTTTATGAACTGGTTCACACTTGTCCGTATTAATTTGTTTCGGTAGGAATTTATATGCAATTTGCTGCAGTTAGTTGTTCAGTTGTGTTGTACCTACGTTGTGAAATGAAGCAAGAGATCGACCTAACCTAAAGATCTCGATTGAAGAGCGTCCAGTAATGTGGGACAAAACGCTAGATGGCTGGTAGGTTCTCAGAGCGGAGATATGCAAGACGAATCCACCCTTCCCAAACAATCTCCTTCAGGAACTCTTAAATGGACCGTTTATTTTTTTGAAAGCCAGTCGGTCTTTCGAATCAAATCCATGATCCTTTATGCGACAAATTTTAAACAGATCTGATGACATGCTACGTTACACTATAGTGTACTATTCTTGCACTGTGGTTACACATCGCATTCAACTTCGCTCCGCAGACAACAGCGGCAGCGTCTTCTGCTATATAAGGAATAGTGCATCTTAACACCTTGAAGATGCATTATTTGCTCAGTCAGCAGCTGAATACACATTTAGAACTGCTGTAACATCTGTTTCATCTAATTCCCTATATAATTGCATCGATCGCATATGTTCGGCCCATTGTCTCATTTTCAATGCAGTGTACCCAGGTTTGCATTTGCTCATGTCAAATATATTGAGAAACCCCCGCCGTTGGTCATCTGAAACTCTTTTGCTAAACATCGCTTAACAACTTCAACTACTCGCGGATCCTGCAATTATCACTTCGTGAACGTGAATCACAAGTATTATCATTTCTTTCCCGATCAGCACGTCATTTGCGCTCCTTGAAAACCTCAGCTGTTCAACTATGGGGTCATAGAAACGGCCATTTCACGCTTATCTAGAAGACGCACCAGATTGCCGCTCTGTTCAAAACACTTTGGCTGCCCCATGGACATTTCTTCATATCTAGTTTCCCACCTAAGCCGTCACGTAAGCTTTCTACGGGCAAAATCACTCGAAAACTTCGACATTGGCTCTATGCAGTATCTGTGGCTTCAACGTCACAGTGAAACAACTTCAGTCATCAATAAAAGTGACGAAGGATTTCACACTGTCTAGGCCAATCGGTGCTACTGGCCCGAACACGTCGGTATCAGCCCAAGCACTCTCGACAATCGAGCATTCCCAAAAACTGAACAATAATTCGTCTCGTTTTATTAACAACCTTTAAACTATAATTGCGTTCACAAAATTGTATCTTTGGCATCATTTATTACGCGCAATGTTACAAAATTTGTAGAACTTCTAATTAAAACATTCTCGCCTCTATTTCTTCATCAAAGATGTCTGCATCACCGAAATGGTTGTGCCCACGTGTAGATTCTACAACAATATTGTATTACAACACTCAAAATATGTGCAAAAACTTTTTAGTCAAATAGTGGCCATGATGATTTTAGTTTTAAGTTAAAAAAATCTATCAATAGATGCACCTTATTTATTTCGCTCTTCATAACAACTCTCCTAAAAAGTTTTTGTACGTAGAGTACTATTGATCCTCACTATACGTTAATTTTTCATGGATATGGTGTCAACGGTAAAACGTATACACGTTATCCTGCACTTTTTCAGCAACTAAAGATGAAAGGATAGCGCGTTGACTATGAAAGCTACAACTAATTTTGTAAGAGTGGGTTTTTACAACACAAAAATATCATGTCTTTAATGGTTACACATACCAAACTGTGAAATAAATGAAATATAAAATATTCAAGTAATGAACTAAATTATCTGGAAAGCGTTTTTGTGCAGACCCATATTCATAACTTGTAAAATACTCGTATTTACTCTGTTCACAAATAAATTCTTGAGCACGTGAGCAATCCACTCCATAGAAAATAGGCCGGTTATGATTCTCTCTGTCCATATTGAGGCAAGGATATTTTGTATTAAATTCGACATCATACC